CTACGTCAATTGCTTGGGCTCGCTAATTACTTGCATAAGTACAGCAAGAATTGCGGAGCAAACTAAGCCATTGTCTGATCTTTTGAAAAAGGATACAGAGTGGACTTGGTCAAAGGTGCAAGAAGATGCGTTCACTTCATTGAAGCAATCTCTTGTAGAGGCACCAGTATTAGCATTACTAAACGTAGATAAACCCTTTATCGTCGTCTGCGATGCAAGCAGTTTTTGCAATCGGCAGCGCGCTCATGAAAAAGAATGACAACGGCGTTGACCGTGTCATATTGTATCAGTCTCGGCTTTTAGAAGCCGCAGAGCTGAATTACCCTGTGCATGACAAGGAGCTACTTTCAATTATGTATGCCCTTGTTTCGTGTGCACCTCTTGGGCACCGAACCTTTAGTGGTTTATACGGATCACGCATCACTGCGGACCGCTATAAATTCACCGCACCTCTCGCCGAGAATGGCGAGATGGCTAACATTCTTCTCTGAATTTAATTTCAAAGTTGAATATAAGCCGGGTAAGTCGAATGTCTTGGCTGACGCGTTATCGCGCAGACCAGACTTCGAGGCAAGACACCAGAATAGTGTGTCTCGTGCGAAAGCACAAGTTGAGTCGTCAACATTGGCAGCCATGAAGGCCTACCATGTGACGAGCTCAATGGCCTCCGATATAAAGGAGTGTTACAGTCAGGACGAATATTGATGCCTGCTGTTGGATCATTTTGGTGGACGAAAGATTACTCTTCCGTAGCACCTCAAAGCGAAGCTTAATCGCTTTAGTTACAGTGATGGTCTGTTATGGCATCAACTGTCACCTTGTGATCCCTTGAGAATCTATGTCCCTCATGACACAGATCTCAAACTGATGATACTTCACGAGTGCCATGATGCGCCATCTAGTGGGCATCTGGGTCGCGAAAGACATTCTTACGAGTGTCCGAGGAATTTTGGTGGCCCCACCTATATCAGTGGGTGGCCAACTATCTTCGCTCTTGCGAAGAGTGTCAGTGCATAAAGCCTGCACCTTCGAACAGTGCGCCACTGAAGCCACTGCCGTTTTTAACGGATTGTAGGAAGTCGGTCAGTTTGGACTTCATGTTTGGCTTACTGCCTGACCATAAAGGCAGGACGAGAATTGTTGTCTTTGTAGACCGACTGAGCAAGATGGTGCATTTGGCACCATGTAGCACCAAAATCTCAGGTAAAGAGGCTGCCCTCTTTTTTCTGGATCACGTGTATCGACTACACGGGATGCCCGAGTCTATAGTATCGGACCGGGATCCGCGTTTTACGTCGGGTTTTTGGCGACATGTGTTTGAGCTGCTGGGTAGCAAGCTCCACATGTCAACCGCTGATCATCCCCAGACCGATGGTCAAACAGAAAGGGCTAATCGAGTCGTGGCGGATGTATTGCGTACAGTAGCGACACTCCCAAAGAATGGAGCAAGCAATTGTCATTCGTGGAGTTCGCTATTAATAACAGTGTTCACGCCAGTACGGGTGAAACACCGTTTTACATTAACGGACTGCGTCATCCTCGAACGCCAGTCTCGTTTGTACGCAGCCCGAGTCTTAGTGGGGGAGGGCCCCTCACTTCGCTCGGTGCGAATGCCAAAGAGGGCCAAGGTTGCCCTAGTGACACTGCTAATTTAGCAGTGGTCACGGCACCTATAGGTGTCACAGAGGAGGCACGGCAAGAAATGCCAGTGCTCCTTGACGACCTCTTGGAGGCGTCATAGTCGAGATGGATGCTAAAAGCGTGAGTGAAGCTCAGCGCTTTGTGGATGAGCGATTAGCCATCACACGTAAAGTCCGTGACGCGATGGCAAGCGCACAGAACAAGCAAAAACAATATGCGGACCAACATGGTCGCGAAAACAATGAACACTTTAGTGTGGGGGGAAAAGTGCTATTAAGTACTGCTACCTACCTAAACATCCAGTTTCTGTACTACCCATGACCTAGTGCTTTGCCCTACCTTTTTCACGACGGAAAGACGCTAAAGAGTATATTATCGTCAATAGTGGCACGCTTTAACAGCGTCGCACTATTACCACTCGAGCGTGACCACTCGTATGGCGGTGGTATTTCTGGCAATCCACCCTTCGCGTAGCCTCCCTCTCGACGGCGAGCTAGTGAGGCCGACTGTAAAGCCGAAGGGGCTTTTTGCTCATCCTCGCCTGAGTCTGACTCCATTAATGGATTGTCAAGACGTCAGACGTAGGGTTAACAGAGTCGGACGATTTAGAATAGCCGACCTGCTGTTGATTTGCGGCTGTTTTTTTCGAAGCAGCGCGCTCGGTATTAGTCGCTGAGCTTGTTGGCGCAGACGACAAGGCATGACCCTCGCTGGCAGGAAGCATGGAAGCTTCTTGAAGATTAAGTGCCTAAAGGAAGGGGACATATACCCCATTAACGCACTCTGCGTATCAACACTTTGAAGTGATATCAATGGCGTGTTCTCATTGTAGTCAACAATAAGAGACTCCTTTTTATTCGCAGAATAATCAGATGGACCAGTGTTCCTCTGCTGACAAGCTGACATTAGATGTCGACGTTGTCACAGAGACACTTAGCGACGGCTGCGTGTTATCGCGGCGCGTACGCTTTGTGCTGGTCTGCATAGGCTCTTTTTCAGGCGACCCATCAGCCTTCACGTTTCGGCGGCATCGTCTCTTTATTCGATGTTTTACAAAAGCGTAAAAATCGTCTTAAAGAAAGGGATGGTGTAACGGGCTAAACGTTACACGTTCGTTAAGTATCGAGTACTTAAAGGTAGTCATAAGAGTACCTTTGAGTATTCGGTACTGGGCACGTGGTAACTTAAACTCGCACTTGGGTGTGGCAAATTAATGTGACCCACCCTCGTGAATGTGATATCCAATGGTTGGATTCAAATTCAGCGGGGATGACGCCAATTAAGCCGTCTCAGAAAAGCTGAGGGGGTACACGGTTGAAAGCCGCTAAGCGTACGGGCCGAAAAGTAAAATAGATTTAGGACACACTACTGCAGGTTGCGACAGACCTTTATGGCCTGAGAGATCAGATCTGCGGAGAATGTCATCCTGTGCTACCATCCCTGATTTCAAGTCTTCACTAAGAACCGGATCTTGAAATGATGTAGACGGGCACTTCTACGAAGTTGCCTCGTGCTAGTAGCACACACCTTCAGCACAAGCGAGGAAGCGGTTAGACCGTCTTACCTTCGCGTGCGAGGGTGGTTGTGTGGTTGGTCAACTGCTTAAGCAGTCGTACCACCGGATGCCTCTCGCTTAAGCGAGAGTGCAACGAACTTCTATACAATAAGTCACCGGCGTCACGCAGAAGCTATTAGAGCTTCTCGTGGGCGGTGCTTTCGATTTATTAAATCTAAGACTGAGCTATATTTAATGAATTATAACTAAATATAAATCTAACTACTGGTTGGCTATATATGTATATAGATCGGATACGCGACTCTTTAGAAGCGTATCCTGTCGCATGAGCTTAAATGTAGATTTAAGCTTGCGAATGAGACGTCGCGATGCATAGCTTTAACTAGCGTCATCCCTTCCCATGTGAATCCATCAATGAATATCACATTCACGAGGGTGGATCACATTTGTGTATTGCACCCAAGCGACAGGTCAAAAGTAATCATGGATACGTTTAGACCAAACATTAAGTACATTACTTAATGTTTACGTGTAACTAGATGCCCTGTTACAGATGAAGTCATTAAAGGACTGACAAGGAAAGCTTTTTAGTTATCGAGGATCTATTGTGATGTACTGAATGGCTTTTCATTTCTAATTCATGACGATCTACATACGTATGCTGTAACTTCTCTTGAAATTGTAGGAGATAGACCCTACTTGCCCACATCGAAAAAAAATGCGAGAATTAGTACAACTTTAATAGTATTTGTCATTAGGCCAGGGAAATATTTCCACGGCCTTGCCTTCATCTAATAAAATGGCACATAGTACGGCCTTACTATGGGACTAGGCGTCATGGTGTCGCTTCAGACGGACGTCATCAGCGAGCTTAAAGATATGTAGAGCTTGCATGTATGGATACGCTTTTAAATTATATTTGACCAATCAGTAGTAAGATTTATATCTAGTTAATTTCTACTAAATATAAGTCAGTCTGCCGCCGTGGGCAGCAGACTAAGCTCATGGAGCACATGTCTGTAAAAATCCTGTGTTGGACCAGGCCATGATCTACTTATCACTAAAGTATAAGCTTCGGAAAATAGAGGTGGATGGTCTCATGAACTGCGTCAAGAAGATCAAAAGGATGCTGTGTGCTGCGAATCGTGACCGCGACGCTACTGCTAACGCCACGAAGGCTAAGGAAGCTGACCAGGAGATCGTTGTGGTGAAGTTCGACGCTTTACGGACTCGAAATCGGACGTGAGATGCTAGAGGCCCTGAGCACGAACATCCCGACGGCAGCTTCATGATCTACAGTATAGACTTGGACATGAACATGACGGTAAGCTTCACGCAAATGAGCCAGCAGCACATTGACCTAAAGCAGCTAGACGCGCGTAAGTGGGTGAGTTACATCGTGTTCGCGATAACAGGAAAAGGCAGCGGCGCGCGACACGCTACAGATCAGGCCAATATTATGTAGAAGGTGGAGGAGGCTGCGACACTCGTCGAGGTATTCATTAATCGACGATCGATGTCGTTACACTCTCTGGCTATGGCTGTCCGGTTTGTTTAAGTATTTCTTCTTATTCTGGATAACACAACGTAAGCAAAAGTTTGAGCTTTATGACGCAAGCGAGAACTTGATGTTAACCAACATAATGCTATAGTTCATTATCACGACTTGAGCGATTCAAAAATGACAGCCACACCAAAATGCGGTCTACTGGCATGCAAACGGGCATACGAAATGATCTTGGGTGCTAAGGGTCCACATCTATTACAAACGTTACCTGGGCGATGTAATGGTGACGCAGAATGGTCCTTAACTCTCGATGATCCTTAACTCTCGATAATCCGTTCATAGACTTCCTTTTCTTGAATCGTAAGGTACGATAGCGGTCTCTTTGTTTCCATTTCCAGTGTGCGTCAAAGCGGTTGAAGCGGTCTCTGGTGACGAATCAACGGTTAGAGCGGTCTTTGGTGATGAATCAGCGGTTGAAGCGGTCTTTGGTGTCGACTCAACAGGCGAGACTTTTACAATTGCGCCTGGATTCTCAATCTCAGTCGGTGAACTTGTAGTCTTCTTGCCCTCGCTTAATGTCTTAGTTGAATGAGGCATGTTTTTTTTATTCATCTTACTCAGCTTAGCTTTCGCGAATCTACTGATAAGCGATTGATAAAGGCGTTTCATGAGCTTCATAAAAGCAGCGGACTTTTCTGTCGGCAATTTGGCCACCTTTTGAAGGTTGGCCATTAAACCATCGAAAACCCCACCAGAGATTTTTGGGGAGAAGATTCTTTCTTCCACGTCAGCGATATTAGCCTCGACCACCCCTTCTCTTAGATTGCGATGGATTCCATCCGTCCGCTCGCGTGGAGAATTCGCATTCAAGGTCTTGACTTGTATCAAGTCTTTCGAGCTCGCGACGATGCTGTCGCAAGCGATGCAGGTGAGAGTCACGAGCAGGAGAAACTGGTTTAAGCGCATAGTTTGTCTGGGTCTCGTCCGATTTGGAAATGAACAACTTTGAAGCGAACGGATTTTCAATGGACACACGAAATGTTACAGATGTCCTTCGAATACATAAGGTAAACTAATGGATTGCCAGAATAATATATCAACTGTATATCAATTTGTTCTACGACACCACGGTGGCGACGTCTTTTTTTGGTAGTGCTGGATCTTTTCCTCTATTTACTTACCATTCTATGGGTGCCTGATGCTGTAACTTGCGTGTTAAATGCTTTTCCTCATTCGGTTCATCGTCGGATCGGATTTGATACGATCGACCATACCTTAAATATTCTATTTATCCCGAGAAAAGAGGAGCTGCATCGGTCTCCCACACGAACTGCCTGTAACGGATTGGCTTTGCAAGTTACAATTACTCGTAATTCGGGGATGGGGTCGTGCCTATCCAATGTGTAGAGAACATATCAATGCATCATTTTCCTGCTTCGCTCCAACTTATACTTATAAAACAAGTTATTATCAGTGGTTCATACCCATCATGCTATCCTGCTCTGCCTAGCTGATAAAAGCACGGATGGGACTCTTTTTGGTGTCTCAAGAATCTTAAGATCTGTTTACGTTTGCTCGAAGCGGCTGAGCTACAGTACTAGAGTAGCCATGTGCATTTGCCAGGATTATGAGCTCGTAGCGTTAAGATATACTCTGTATCAATTGTTCAGTATTCCTTAGTCGCTTACCATGAAATTGCCCGCCTAAACTGCCACGTTTAGCTCGAATCGTTATCTGAGAGGAAAACGTTAATCACCCGACAATCGACATAGTGCCCATCTAGTCCGTACATATCGCTACATTTGGACGATTGCCCCGGGCAGTCCGGTCCGACCTACCTTTTTCCGGCATATGTGGATGATACCACCCTATTCTTTGAGAAAGCGGAGCAAATCCCTTACGGTTGTACGAACAATTGGCGCTCTATCCGGCCAAAATATTCAACCGGCAACTAGTTAGCTGCTCTTTTTGAATCGGTCTGTCAAGCTCGAGCGGTTCAAGAGCAACGCTGTCGTCCCCACGGGCGAAAGTGCTTGGTACATAAGCTATGACTGAAAACTGGAAAATTACGGAACAAGAGCTGGGCTTAGCGGGTTGTCTGTTATTAAGATCAGCTCTGTAATGGGCTAAAGTTTACATGAATCCGTTAAGTATATGATACTTAACGGGCAGGCCTAAAAAGGGTACGAGGTACCTTAGGCCTGCCACTTGGGTGCGGCACATCAATGTGACCCACCCTCGTGAATGTGATATATTGGATGAATTCACATTCAGCGGGGATGACGCCCAGTTTGGACTAGGCGTCGTGGTGACATCACAGAAGGACGCCATGAGCGAGCTAAAATATATTTTAAGCTCGCACGTAAGGATACACTTCTAAAGAGAAGCGTCTCTGATCCTTGCATAATGTTGTAATCAGTAGCAAGAGTTATATATAACTACTAGGGTGTTTACCCGTCGTTCCGACGGACATGGTGCCTGTAAATGTTCGTACCCATTTCCTATTATCTAGCATATCCAATTGAATCTGTAATTGGTGGGTATGAAGCTTAATGGGTACACGTCCAGTGAGTCCGGAGCGTGAGCTCCGGACAAGTCGTACAGCGACCAAGGTATGAGCTGCCGCGCCATGATGCTGGTTGATGCATTCCCGCTGATGTATCTTGGGCGTCCTGCTGGATTGGGTTCTGGGTCTCCGGACATTGCTTGTTCGTTTGTGGGCGAAGGGTTTTCGACAGTTGAGCACTCACGGTTGGTAAGTGCTGTCATGAGAAGGGGGTGATGTAATGGGCTACATTACACATATAGCATTAACACAAATAAACAATTACATATGTAGGCAGGTGCTGGGCCCGAATAGCGGGCACAGCGTGGTAATTTATTATTGGGCCTAAAGTCCCCAATATGGACCAATGATAAATCAACCTGAAATTGTGTGGTTCCCGAAAGGCGGGAAAACTGTCGTATTTATTACGACTAAAATCTTCGTAATTAGTACGAATTAAAACCAAAATAAAAATCAGAGTTAAATTTACTTAATACCTAATACTTGGGCTTGAGTCTTCCTCAAGCGCACGTGTAAGCTAGTGACGGTACGTTCTAGCCCCGTTACAATAACTTATTAGCATTAATGTAAGTACAGTACCATCTTTTATATAAATTAGTAATTTTTTATGAGCTGTAGCAATAAATTTCGTCGGTTATCCATCTAAAGAAATGAGTATCATGACTAAAAATTGTAGTGTAAAATTTATATGATAACTTCGTCCATCATGAATTAATACTCAACAGAATTAATAGTGAACGCGTACATGATGCGGGAATACTTCCGCCGATTTCGAAAACTGCGCGGGAAAGGTCTTGATGGAATCGAGCATGAAGCTCTACAACGTTCTTGGTGCGTCTTCATCCAACGTTGGAATCGGATGCTCGAGGATGGTAGCAGCTTCCAACTATGGCTCGCCAATCGAGAGGAGCTTCGCGCCGATCACTCCATCGGCGCGCTACGCGAAAGAGTGTGTGAGGAAGCTTGGAATGAGGACCGTCTCTGTTTCGTCCATGTCAATGAAGGATGCCAATCTTGTGACTCGACTCCACGCCCAACTCATGACGAATGGCGACGACACATCGCTGAGTGTCCACTCAGCGATCGCGAACGAAGTAGGATTGCAAAGTATGAGCGAAGTCTGAGCGAACGGAGAAGCGCAATTATTCGTGGTGCGCCTCGCTGGCAGCACCACTCGCGACAGCGGAGTCAATCTCCGCGGGATCATCAGCGCAGGGCAGCGACACGTTCGCTTGTCCGTCCTGCTTCGCGATTCTCTCCTCGCAATCGTGATATGTATTCACCGCGACGTTCTCGTTCACGGCGTCGTTCTCGTTCGCGAAATCGTTCTCGTTCTGGTCATCGTTCCCGTTTCCGACAACGTGAATCTCCTTACCGCTCTCGTTTGTCACGGGAGCGTTCGCGTGCTCGCCCGCCTTGGAATAGTCCGACTTCGTGGCTTCATACGACAGAATCACATCTGGAACGTCACGAAGGAGCAAGGAACGTGGTTCCCATGTATCCTGCTCGGGAGGGAATCCAAGCCAACGTACTCGGTACCTGCGCACGGATCCGCGCGCTTCTCATGAGCCGACTGCAGTAATGGTTGTGGAGGGTCCTCGTGACCCACAATGCGGTCTACAATCCAGCGCACCTGTCCCTCCGCATCAACAAGCGGAGGAGGGCCCTCGCGGTGGTAGTGCTGGCGTCCTGGTTGCTCAGGACGATGCTGATCAGGCCGTGAATATAGCTGCCGATGCTCGGCTGGAGGCTGCCAGTGAACGTGCTGCCCAGGCGGAGAAGACTTCGAATGAGACCCGGCAGTCGAACCGTGAACTGCTCGAGAGGATAAGGATTCTGGAGCGCCAGATGCTTGGTCAGGTTCAGACGGGATTGAGACCCCGCCCCATGTCATCGGCGCGTCGAGCGCGACGGGAAGGCCGTTCGACTTACGAATCCCTGAAGCCGGCGTCGGAGCCAAACCATGAAGCGTAGCCGGACGATATTCCTTCAGCCGCCCGACATAGAATGTCGGGTGGAGTCGCAGTGAAGAGGGGACGTCGAGTGTATAAGCGTCGCCAATTGCCTTCAGAACCTTGAATGGACCGATGAAGCGTGGCGCGAGTTTTTCGCGCCCAGATTAGTGACCGCAGAATCCCTTAAACCTCCCGTCGATAATAATACACGGTCACCTTTCTCAAACTTGCTCATGTTTTTTCTTCCATGTTTGTCAGCGTTCTCCTTCTGTTGGTCTACCGCAGATTGTAGTGCGTCGCGTACAAACCGGGTGATTGCTTGACGTTGGAGTATAAATTCCGACACGGCCATGTCATCAATTGGTCGCGCCGACTCAATCGGCGCGTAGTTGGCAGTAGGTGAACGCTTACCCGAAGACGGGTCAATTAATGTCTGCGCAGTCCATCGAGCTAATGGGGACGCCACGTCTGATGGCGTCAAAATGGCCGTCTTTGCCTTGGATCGGGTTACTGCATTCGTGCTCAAAATACCGTGAGCTGCACTCGATCCTTGTTGATCACCTTTATCCCCCCCAGAGTGGAGCCACTAGGTGGTGTGGGTCGCCCCACGGCCAGGACAGTAGGAACACGAGGGTGACGAGCCGAATTCACAAAAAATGGCGTCAACCGTGTTGACGCATGTACGGCGTTGTTGAGTGCGAACTCAGCGAGTGGTAAAAATGCACTCCAACTTGTAAATGACGTAGCATAACTCCGAAGAACATCTTCGAGGACCCGGTTCACGCGCTCGGTCTGCCCATCCGTTTCCGGATGGGCTGCCGTCGACATCAGCAGTTTTGTCTCGAGGAGCTCGAAAAGTGATGTCCAAAATACGGACGTAAATCGCGGGTCACGGTCCGAAACAATGTTTTCTGGAAGGCCATGATGACGGAACACCGCGTCGATGAAGTGCGCCGCGGTCTCTGCCGCGGTGACCTTAGCGTGGACAGGCACGAGATGTGTCATCTTGCTGAATCTGTCAACAAAGGCCAAAATGCCTGTTCGAGCTTGGCTATCGGGCGCAAGCCCGAAGATAAAGTCCATCGAAACTGATCTCCAGGCCTCTGCTGCAATTGGCAACGATCGCAAGGGAGCCTGTGACGATGGAGATGGCTTCACACGCTGGCATATTTCGCACGTTCGGATCCAGTTGCGTACCCACTTATACATGTGGGGCCAGAAGAAGTCTCGAGACACAGCCGCGAAAGTCTTTTCGCGGCCTAAATGGCCGCCAGCAGGAGCATCGTGATACTCGTAAATGATTCTTGCACGCAAATCCATGTCATTGGCAATCACCGTGCGAGGAGCATCGAATTGGTCGATGCTATACAGAAGCAAATCGCCATCTAAACTGTATCGATGAATATGGTCGCGCTTGGTACGGGATAATGCTCCCAGTGCAGCAT